GAAAATAATAATAAGCAGATTTAGGACAGATCTCAGTTTGTTCATCTCCATCTGAAACTGTAATATTAAAGTAAAAAAGAACATAATGCACTACATGAAAGAGTTTTGACAACAAACCAAAAAAACGGGACAATTATAGTATTTTATCTACAGAAATAGTTTTGTCTCACAACTTGCTTTGCTATTACCATTTCATTTTCATTTAACTTCCTCTCTTGCATAATGGCAGCTGCAAAAGGCTTCAGCCCAAAATCACAGGAAGGAAAACTCCAGGGTTTTTTATGTTTTTCTACACCAACACACCTCATTCCCATCAATTTAGTAATATTCTGAAGAGATCCTTTCAAACTAAACCAGGTGGGTGAATCGGGGAAAACTAAAACATGCAGGAAAGCAGCCCTCGAGAACACTAAACAGCCATAAGCATTCATTAAAAAAAACAAAGATAGGTGGGTGGATGGACATATTTTGAACACCACGAACAAACAAGTACAAACAGTACATACTGTTTTTTTTATAATCAAATCCATCTGTTCAAGAACATAAAGTTTTCCTCATCCGTTCAGCAAGATATGAGGCGTGTGTTATCACCTGTGACTAAAATGATAGAGAAGTTAAAATCTAAAGTTTCTGTAGCTCTGTTTAGCTGGGCCTCTGCCTTGGGTCCCAATAGACCACGTGGTCTCCCCCTGAACACACCCCCGCCTCCTATTGGCCAGCGGGACGTTATGTAACACCCTATACGTCCCAACGGGACTGGCCAATGAGGTTTAAGCAGCTGGCGCACGTTAAATTGACGTGCCTCGTCTCTGTAAACACAACAATGACAACAACAGCCAGAGGTGCGGATAACTCTGGCTTTGCTTTTCCTCAGAAACACGAAGACACATTTGAAAAACATTTGCGTTCACACCTATTTCAGATACCCCCCCCCGGCCACTGTCAGTACGGCCACGAATACAGTGAAGAACCGGCAGCCGGTGACTCTCACTAAAGTTGTACAAAGTCCCCGTTTCGTTAACAAAAATGTCCCAAACTGAACAGTGAAATGAGTGAGAATATTTACGATAACGGCGGTTACGTCTGGAGACTTTGGACGTGTTCCTTTAAGAGCCGTTAGCTTGGTCCAACGGCTCTTTTCAGGAATGCTAGCCTCCGGGCTAACGTCTCCAGCTAGCTATAGCTGTGTCCAGTTTAACCCCCCCCGTCCCGTCCCTCAGGGCTTTTAAAGAGACTTTACGGTTTGTAAAGTTTCTGTTAACAAACTAAAGACTTACCTGGTTAGGGGGCCGCATAAATCCGCTCGGTTGGCCATTCCTGAAAGGCTGCTTTGTGGGGCTTTTCTCCGGTTTTGGCTCCTCCTGCCTGACGCTCTGTGGTGGACCAACGGGGCGGTTAGCTGCTCACATTTATTTAACTTATTCTGTGCTCTATTTTTGGTCCTAAATAATGACTAATGCACATTAACTCCAAAAAATCTGGTCACCGTTGTCAAGACGAAAAGAAAAACTTCCTTACCAAGTGTTTTAAACTTTAATATAACTGCTTAGACACAAAGTCAATAACATTTTCACAACTTAAATACTTTCATCATTTGTCCAAAATCCAAACGTCTTTCTTTTAATTCTTCATTGTGCAAAAGTTTTGATCCATTTTCCGTTTCACAATGTTAACACCCAGACTTTCCTCTAATCTTTTTAAGTGCTATCAAGCAAAGATTTCACCAAAGTGTTTCAGTGTTTTTAATGGGGTTTTCTTTTATTGTTGATTTGCTTGCACAGACCTGTTAATCAGCCCATGTAACTCACCGTTTCTACATATTTAGGAAAACATCTTTTTGAAACATATCTTCATGAGTTATCAGAAAGATGCATTTGGACCTTCATCTGTTCCAACTGTTGCTGGTCC